GACTTCTCAAAGACGCCATGAGAATGGAACTCGTGGAAGCTACCCATCACCTCGTTTCTCACCAGCTCCCAACTTTCCATTAGAAACCGCATAGTAAACCCATCTGGCCCCCGAGCTTTGTCACCATTACAACTAGAAATTGAATACATATTTAACATAGATTATATACACATATATATATAGATAAAATCACTGCAGCCACCACCTCCTCCAACAACCACCACCTTCTCATTCTCTTTCCTCTCCATTTACTTGCACATTCGCCTCCATCACCCCACCACCATCGCCCCCACTATCTCTCTCTGTGTCTATTCACCAACACCACTATCATTGCCTCCATCCCTTTTTCAAATTTAATGCGACACCATCACCGCTCCAACCTCTCTCTTATCTCTCCACCATCCAGAGCCCCCTCCCACCACCATCACCACGCCATATCTTCCCACAATGCCACCTTCATCACTACCAACCATGGGCCTGCCAGCTGCCACGACCTTCCAATATTATGACAGAAACCATCCACCACGGATCGAAACTATCTAAGTTGGGTGGGTGGGTGGGTGTGTGTGTGTGTGTGTGTGTGTGTGTGTGAGAGAGAGAGAGAGAGAGAGAGATGATGGTGGTGGAGGGTGTAAAAAATCATAATTCCCCAAGTGGATTTTTCAACTACCACAGCGTATAACCGCGGATTCAGCAGAAATAACACTAACTTTGCCGCATCGACAATGAAACCGCTCCATCTCTCAAATCAATACAATCACACAATATTATATCTACATTAATGCAAATCTTAAAAGATTATGTACCATTTATTAATGTGTTTGTAACTATGTGCAGGTTCCTCAAAGTGTTAAGGCCTTTTGTTATATTGTTGTGCAAATTGCAAAAATTCCCCTAGAGTATCAATCTGCTACAACAAATTCCCTAAACTATTTTTGAGGCAACAAGCCCTCCATCTTTCAAACTTGATAAAGAGTATAGAGAGAGGCGAAGAAAAGAGGAGGGATCTCTGACAGTAAAAAGGAAGGTGGGACTTGTAATGTACATATACCTAAGGGTATGAAAAGAAAATTAGATTGTTAAGAGAGAGCTTATTGGGTTTTACATTTTACTCATTTTTGCTAATTTCTCATCTAAAAACTATTAAACAATTTGTGGTAAGATGTCAATCACATTAACAATTTAACACAGTCTTCTGAAAATCTCTGATAAATGGTGCCAGAGTTATTTTCGCAAAAGTTCCATTCAAGGGTTATAGGCCAAAGCTCGGGGAGGTCTGGATGATTTATTCTTAAAATAACAATATAAAGGATCACAAAGAAATTGAACTTGAGAATAACTGTACTAGAAGTGTGACATGGTTTAGGGTAATGCTAGGAGAAGGGGAGGAAAAACACTAACATGAGTCATGAAAATAAAGAAAGATATGGTAGATTATGATTTAACTAATATAATGGCCTTAGGCAAAACAAATTCGTGTAGCCAACACAAATTGTTGAGACAAAAATTTGCTGAGTTGATTTGTTTTAGGTTGGAAAGTTACATGCACTTGGGTTGGTTAAAATCATTGAAAACCAAATTTCTTGAGTACTTTGTGAATATTCAAGGGTGAAAATCCCAATGTGTAACATCAGCTTTTTGAGAGACAATAAACTCCATCTTTAAGGTTGTAAGAGAAGGGAAGAGGACCTCGGTCTTATAAAGGGCTTTAGGGTGGGTAGAGATCTAGTCTATCAGGTGGAGATCTCTTATTTACTTTTTGCGGACGACACCCTGGTTTTCTATGATGCTGATGGGTCTCAACTTAGATTTTTGAAGTGCATCCTGGCCTGTTTTCAGGCGGTTTCTGCACTGAAGGTCAACGTGGCTAAGAGCGTGCTTGTCCCGGTAGGGATGTTCAAGATATTTCCTCTTTAGCTGCAGTCCTCGGGTGTAGGGTGAGTTCCTTTCCCATTCCTTATTTGAGTTTGCCCCTAGGGGTTTCCTTTAGAAGAGTGGGGAGTCGGGACAAAGAGATTAGCAGGATGGAAAAAGCAATATTTGTTTGGGGGTGGGGGGAAGTTACTCTTATAAAAAGCACTTTATCGAGCCTTCCCACATATTTTTTATCTATGTTCCAAATTCCATGCTCTGTTGTTGATAGGATTGAAAAAATACAAAGGGATTTCCTTTAGGGTGGAAGGGGCGAAGAGTTTAAGTATCACCTTGTCAGATGGGAGCAAGTTTGCAAGCCCATAAAGTTGGGTGGTCTTGGTATTAGGAGATTGGTCCCCTTTAATCAAGCTCTCCTAGGTAAATGATTGTGGAGATACAGGAGGGAAAGACATTGCCCTTGGCGAAGGCTAGTTTCATGTCGGTTTGGGGAAGAGAGTGGCGGTTGGTCTACTCGTCCAATTTCTCTTGTGGGAGGAGTCGGGGCATGGAAATTCATTCGGAAGGGATGGGATGTCTTCTCTTCTCACATCAGATTCAAAGTTCGTGATGGCAGATGTGTTCATTTTGGGGAGGATCTTTGATGTGGTGACCAGCCATTATCTCGTACATTTCCTATATTATACGGTATTGCAGTTGATAGACATGCCTACATAGCTGACTGTTATCGGCTTGATAGTAGTATAATTGTGTGGGACGTGCACTTTCGGCGTTCCTTTTAGGATTGGGAGATGGACGAGGTATGTGTTCTTTTCGATCTTTTGTATCGGCAGAAGGCAGTTGGCAGAGGTAGTGAGAATCTGACATGGATCCCCTCCCATGGTCATTTCGAAATTCGATCCTTGTTCCTATGTCTATCTAACTTTGATAGCCTTAACTTTCCGTGGAAGACCATTTGGCGTTCTATCGCTCCAACTAGGGTGGCATTCTTTATATGGTCTGCTGTATGGGGTAAGATCCTGACGATTGACAATTTGAGGAAGAGAGATAACTGTTTTGTTAATTGGCGTTGCCTATGCAAACAAGATGGTGAGTTAGTTGGTCATATCCTCATGCATTGCCCCGTGGTGTACGACCGTTGGAATCTTATACTTGGTTTGTTTGGCATGTGTTAGGTAATGCCATGTTCTTCTAAGGATTTGATTCATGCTTGGAGAGGATGTCGTGTGAGAAGTGATGGACGCGATTACTGGAAAATTGTTCCACATTGCGTATGGTGGTGCATTTGGAAGGAGAGGAATAGCAAAATGTTCAAAGGGAATGAGTCGTCCACGGCGACGCTAAAACTTCATATTATTCGCTCTCTTTTTAGTTATGTAAAGAGGAGTTCTTAATCATTTTTTTGGATTCTTTGGGGCCTTAGACCCCAGTTCCACTTTTGTATCAGGGACGCGTTCCCCTTTTGAACGCCTTTTTATTTAATTCTTACTTATCAAAAAAAAAAGGTTGTAAGAGAAAAATTACCCAAAAGATGCATTTCCAAACATAATTTTCTTTAAGGGTCCGTTTGGTTAGCAAGAAATCGATGGTGAAAAGTGAAAGGAAAAGGAAGTGAACTGAAGGGAAAGAAAATTAACTTTCTATTATGCATTTGGTTAGCATGAATTTTTTATAAGAAATTTGTGGGAAAATATTGTTTCATTAGTTTGGATAGCATGAAAGTGAAAAGAAAATAATTTGACATCCCAAAACTACCCTTATGAATTCCATACTAAGAATATACATCATGCAATACGCATAAAATCAAAAATAAAATAATATATACAATTAGATTTATATATGTGCATACATATATGATCAAACACATATTTAGTAATATTTTTTTTTTTTTTTATGCTTGTATTATATATTAGGACTCTGCTATTAAATTAGCTTACTTCTTTGTGAGTCTGAAAAAGAGTCCTAATTTAAGGGTAAAGAAATTGTAACCTAATAAGAGTCCTAATTTATCAATGAAGAAAACTCACTTCTTTTGTGAGACTGGATAAGAAAGAAGAGTAACAACTGATGAGGGCATAGCAGGAAATTAGTATAATATAATGATACAACTCTCACGGGAAAATAAAATTTTAGTGTGTTTTGTGGATGAAACATTTTGAGGAAAATCAACTAGTTGCAAGAATCTTATTTTCCTGAAAACTTTCCTTTTCAGACTAACCAAACCACAAATTTATTTTTAAAAAATTTGTTTCTTTTCCTTTCTAGTTAGTTCACACTAACCAAACGAAGCTTAAAGGAATTCCTCATGCTGGGACATTATTCTCAGATATCCTTATTTCAGGGATCATAATACTATTGCGGAAAAAGTTGTCTCAATTTCTCATTTTGTAAATAAAGCAAAAATAATATACATATATATATATATATATATATATATGCTACACAATAACAACTAAACTACAGGGGGTTGTAGATTATGTAGCTGCACATGTTGTGTGCTCCAAAATAGAACATTTAAAAAAAAATTAGTTATGTCCACAAAAATCATTCAATAAATGAGAGAGGAGTTCCAAAAAATTATGAATATTTTCTGTTCCTATCATTGTCAAATAATAATCCAGGGAGTCATTTTTAAATGCTATGGAATTATATATTCATCATTTAATAGGAGAAATAAAGCTATATTGTATGAAATAGAGTGTTGGGCATAGAAAAAGACACAAGAACGACACATCCATATAGCGGAAATGAGGATGCTATGTTAGATGATAAGAGGAACTAGAAAAGATAATGAAGTAATGAACATGTGAGGGGAACATTAAGCATAGTTCCTATAAATGATAAAATTAGAGAAAGAAGACTTAGATCTTAGATGGTATGGCCATATTCATCGTAGACCCCATGATGCACGAGTTAGAAGAGTAAGAATTGTTTGCCTAGAAGGTAAACGACAAAGGGCCAACCAAAAATTACATAGGAGGAAGTGATTAAAAACAATTTTAAAAAATTTAATCAAAGAGAAGACATGGTATATAATAGAAAATAATGGGAAAAGGAATTTATGTGGCCGACCCCATTCACATGGGATAAAAGTAAAGATGATGATGATAGGAGAAATAAAGCCAAACCTGGAGTAAAGGGCATAGTAGCCGCCTTATAAACTCCTTTCCGGAAGTATACATCGATGAAGTTTAGCCCAATGGCTTTGTTTTTCACTCGGATCTCCCCATCCTTTGGCTCACCTATTTCCACATCCTCCCACTGTAGAACCTGTCATCATTTTGACTTTGTAATGAGTAAAAGTCTTTCACCAACATAAATGGGTGCTTAGAAACTAATTTCAACCTAATCATAAAATAAATGAGAAAATCAACTCAACAAAGTCTTTGGATTCAGCTACTCAAAAATAAATGATACAAAAACTAAGTTTGATGTATTATTTACAGACCATTAAAGTGAAATCAAATGAACCGAGAATTCCAGAAAAATAGCAATGAATAAGATGTAATTCACCCTCTGTACAGAATGTAAAATAAAAGGGATAAAGCTCCTTCAATGATGATGACAATAACCGATTGTAGCTAATCATTTGTGCTAGTCAAAGGAAATAACCACGAGTTATATGCACAATCTAAAACCCGCACAAGCAATTAAAAAAAAAAAAAAAAAGCCCCACATAAGCATCTAGCTAGCGTTCCTATTTGACCCGGGATCCGTTCTCTCTCTTTTGACTTGCACCGGACTTACTAACTTGTCCTATCTGACGAAGCCCCTGATGCGCTTCTTGTTTTATAGTCCCTACGCCCCCTTATACATCGATCGAAGGGGCAAGGCTCCTTCCCGGCCCCTATCTTCATCTCTTTCTTATATAAGAACTGATAATTGGAATACAAGAAGGAAATATATCAATCTCTCAAACCAATATTCAAACAGTAATCATACAATACAGCAGCAAACCCAATTGAAGCATGATTGAAAATAAACACTTGATGTAATAATCCGTTCAAAAGAATACTAACATGAACTCTTATGAATTCACCATCTGAAGAGATCATCAAAAATAAAAGCAAATACTGTAATTAAATAGATAAAACATAATTAAAGTGGAAAAATTAGAAGATGGAATTGGGCAGGTAGATGATTACAAGAACCAATCTCGGATGATCCCAATTAGCACCGACAATAATGGGTAGTTAACATTTGATCAAATAATCTCTCTCTCACTCACACACACACAGAGGTACCTCTGGACCACCAAGTTGATGAACCCTAATGGCTTTGACCATTGTTGCTGCTGATGATGATGTAGAAAATGCTCTCACGGCTGGTTTGTTTATGAGAGTGGATGGTAAGTGAAGGCTTCTGTAATGATTGTTATTGATATTACTATTGCTCTCTCTTTGTAGTTGAAGAAATGGTGGTCTTGTCCTGCAATCGCGAGCACATGAGAGAAATGGGTTGGGTAGTGGTGATATACGATGGTGATGCTGATGATGGAATCTTAGCCTTGATAAACTCATTTTAGTCAAATTATACTCTTTTGTTTTTTTGTCTTGCCCTATGTAACACCAAGACTATGTTTGGTACGATGGGTTCAGCCATTCGTGCTGTGATGCAACCAACACAAAGGTTATATGAACAGCGAGCAAGAATGGATAGTCGCCAATCGTGGAAGGAAACGTAGTAGGAAATAGCTCATCAGAAGAAAGGCATCGGTCAACGCTAGAGGCATTAGAAGGGAGTAGCCACCAGTACAAGAAATATGACTTTATGAGGGCTTGTTGAGTCAAAAGTGGACTTTGAAGATATGGTTAAAGGAAAATGATAAAATTAGTTACGAAGGAGAAGAAAAAAAAAAATGACGGATAATTTTAATTTTTTATCATGTTTGATTGATTAATAAGAGAAAGATATTAATCATGTTTGAAAAAAAAAAGAAAAGAGAATTATTTTAATAAATTTACTATTATATCTTTTTATATTTTAAATAATTATTATTTATTTATTTTTACCTGTAAGGAGGAAATATAATTGGATGCCCTTGGTCTTCCTCTCTTAAAAATTTGGGTGCCCTTGGGCCCAAACTCAAATTTCAAATTTGACTTATTTAAAATTCAATTGGTTTCATTATATTTTCAATGTGGGACAAACATTTTTCATATTTTGCATGCCCATTTAAGCTTATCAAATGCCTTACTTTGAAGCTAATTTTTCATCCTGAAACGGATCAATTTTAAAAAATAAATATACTAATTTTTCATCTCCTTGCGGAGAAGAACGCGTTCGTCTATAGATTTACAAAAAATTCTTAGCGGAACCTACTCTAAACTTCATCCAAAAAAATTTTTTTGTATATCCGGTTTCCAACACTAAGAACATAGAATTTTAGTGCAATATAGAAGATGATGCAAAATTCTTTCAAATGTACTGCTTTATATTTATATTCATTATTACTTAAAATTAAATTTAGTTAAATATATATTATTCAATATTATAAATTAACAAAATGCATGGTTCAATTGTGCAGGTTCATGATGCAGTTTCATGATGCAGTTTCAAGTCAAATAATCAAATATCAATGATTCCTTGTATTGTAAAAAATTACTATTAACTTAATTATTTAGCCAATTTTATTTGAAGTTCATTTGTTGTGTTACATGTTAGTATGTAATTTTATTGTTATTATAAATATTTTATATTTTTATGATTATTTCATCACGTGCATTTACATAGTTAAATAAGAAAATACCATCATTAATGGGATAGAAGTCCATTAAAAATTTAAATAAAAAATTAATTGACATCCAGATGATATGATCTATATTTCCCTCGAGTGTATGAAGCTGCCAGAGGCAGTATTGTGGTTAATAAGCATGTGCATTGTGGGTAATAAGCTGCCATAGACAATATTGTGGTATCATTTACTTAACTTAAAAAAAAAAAAAAAAAAAAAAAAAAAATGCAAAAAAAAGGGAGAGAGAAGTAAACCTAGCTACACCAACTAAATAAAGGAAAAATTACCAGCTAAACTTATTTTGCACCTTAAAAGACAATCAACAAACAATCCTATTTTTGAGATATATTTTTAAATAAGTTCAAATTTAAATTTTTTTCAGTATTACCCTTATTATTAAAATGCTAATATATTAAATTATTAATCATCTCTTCTCGTCACACACACATATAACACATACGTTGTTGAGAGAGAGTGAAAAATAGGAGAGTAGAATTCTACTAGTTTGATTGCTTCTTTCACTAAGCTTGCAATTCTGCTTATGAAGAATCAGTGTGTCAAAATGGATCAATTCAAACACCTTTGGATTCAGCTTGGTGGTCTGAACCAAACCTGATTGAGCTACTGTGGCTAAAGAATGAAGTGACCTCTAAAGAGTATATATCGAGGCAAAAATAAATAAATAATCTAAAAATTTAATGTCAGTTTAGTAACGGCAATTCGGCCTCATTTCAAACAAAATTTCATTTACACATATGTATAATATATGAATTCAACACACAAAAATGACAACTTTTTATTAATGTTTATGAAATTTTGTTTTGTTAAGATGGCAACTTTAGGCATGAATGGAGTATAGTTCCTATAACTTACAAGCGGAACTGCACAAAAACTGAACAAAGGAGTGGGCCTGCTGGTAACAAACCGTCAAAACATTTCAAAAAGAAAAATATCACTGAACAAATGGATGTGTGATGGATAGCAATGGTACTCAAGCCACAATGAAGATATTGCACTGAAATATATATATATAACACACACAAAACAATTCATGATTACAATCCACTATTTTTGAGTGGAGGCGGCCAAGACAGTCTCCTGTGGCTCATGCCATCAACCTGCTGAGAGTCGCCAACTTCGCTTTTTACATCTTCCACTTCTTGCCGTTCCATTTCTTGCCTTCCGATGCTTCTAATGGCTAAATCATCAAAGCTTGATTTATTTCTCCAAGGTGGTGGAGTCATGTATTCAGAAACCCCTACCGTTCTTTGAGAAGGATTCTTGGCTGGAGTTGCGGGCAAGGAGGAAGAGGAATGATCTACTCTCAAATTTTGAAGTGTAGAAAATAACTCTCTCATTGCAGACATTGCTTCCAAAAACCGAGTACAAGATGCTAACGCAACAGGAATTGGGCGCACCATTTTCTACTTGCCTTAAGGTGTTGATGTGTTCTGTCCTAGCCTCGTCCACCTGGCGCATAGTATTGAATTGTTCCTGTATCTCTTTGCGCATTTTTTGTATGATCTAGCTGTTGCATTTGAACAGCGTCTAATCCTGTTGCTATCCCGGAGCAGTGTCTCATGTATCAAAAAGCTCGAGAACGGTGATGAGAGGCTTTTAACAAGCTTCCTAACTAAAGTGTTGGTGCATAAAATTTCAAATCGAACATAGTAATTCGACCCGAATGATTTTACACTCCAACACTTAATCGAAAAACATACAAACAGAAATAGAAGACTGGAAATTAGATCAAGGAAGAATAAGGGCTTATAAAACTGGGAATCGAATGCCTTTCCATTGGGTCTTGCGCCTGTATTTATATTCGTAGAGTGAGATTATTATGGAACCGTGATTGTGCGTTACATATACTTTACCAATGTTCATATTGTTAGGATATGTGTGCCCTAGCATAGCAAATTCTAATTTTGGATTGTAGAAGTCATGGTTTCTTGTCTGGATATTATTATTAAAGCATTATACAATTGGTGAATGGAATGTATTAGTTTTCGATTCTTTATGGAATTGATGGTGTCCGCTTGATTACAAAATATATTTATATATGTATGTAATGGCAATTAATACTATGATATAAATTAGTAATCATAAATGGTTTAAAGTCGGTAATTATGGATGGACATTTAATTAGTTAAGACTTAAACCGAGTCCACGATAGATTGAGATATATTGCGAGAGCTGTCGTATTCAATTGCTCTCTATCACAGTCATGGCTTTTGACTCTCAAGCATGAGAGAAGTATAGACTCTTTTATTAATTAATAATTACTTTGATTTGCTCGGCGGATACCTCGGGATCCTTAGATCGACACTTTGGGTAGTTATGTAATTAATAATTAGAGGTCTATATTCTCAATATTTGCATCAGTGCTATTTGTATTTATTTTGTTTTGATTATGGTTGATCACAAATTAAATTCGAAGGCCTTCGTATATTTTAGACAAATGTTTTATATATATATTTATTTAATAAATTATTATTATTTTTTGTCAAATAAATATTTTATTGTGATCGAGCCGGAAATAATCAAAGGTAACAAAATAATTATATTAATTATGTTGTCGGATTGATGGCTTTAATTATCCGATAAATAATTAAGCATAGAGGGGTCAAAGTGCAACATTGACTTAGAGGTTATTTACTATTTAATTGGAGTGCAATTAATTTCTTTTAGTGGAGTAGAAATTAATTTATGAATTAATTGAATTGGGTCCATGGTTTAATGGACCGGACCAATTATTAATTTATAAGAGCCAAGAAAATAGTAAGCCCAAAAGGATTCTCACCAATAGCCCAAGTTGATATTGGAGTCATGTTAGGATTGAGAAAGTTGAATTAGAGATGGAGAAGGATTTATTGTTTCCTTATTCTTATTTTATTTTGCCTATATATACATGAGTTCATGTATATTTTAGGTGTGACTTGGAGAACAAGAAAAAGGAATACACTTTCTCTCTCTAGATTTTAGGGTTTTGTTTCTCTTCTAAAGGAGGCTACCACCAGCCTAGATTCCAAGGTCATTCATCAAGGCATATTGGTGATTCCCAAAGGGAAGATAATAATCAAAAAGAAGGAGAAAGGATCTTGCTAAAGGGATCTACAATAAGTGAGAACATTCACTTTAGAGGAAAGTTCAAAAGGTTTACTCAGACCTTTGATGTGAGTATTCAATCTGTTTATTGAATTATGCATCATCTTTTATCTATCTTTGCATAAAACTTGTCTCCATGTAATGAATCAAGATCTATGATTGCAAATCCCTCAAAAAGTTTTAAAAATTTGCACGTTTCCCAACAGTGGTATCAGAGCACATGGTTTGATTCATTACTAGAGAACATGTGTTTATAAAAATCATATTCATGGATCCAAATTATATATACATATATAAAATTATTGATATATGTTGATGTATGATTTATTATGTTGATATATATTAATACATGTTGATGTATGTATAATTGTGAATGGATGATGATGTGTGTTTGGGCCATGGATGAAGCTTATAGGTATATGGAATGTAATTTTATTTTTGGATGAATGTAATTAAGGCTTTGTTTTAGCCGTTTGAAAATTCAATGATGTAATTTAATTTTTTCCATTGTATTTCAAATTGTAAGTATTAATTAAAGCCATGTAATATTCATCAAAGGATGCTATGAAGCTTCAAGAGGGTCCGAAAAGGTTAAATTATGCTTCAGTAATTTTCTGGAATTTTTTCGAATTTTTCGGGAATTTTTTGAGGCTTAATTTAATTTTCTGGGATTTTTTCGGATTTTTTGGAATTTTTTCGGCGTTTTTCCGGTGACCGGAGCTTCGCCGGCGGCGAGAAGAGGCGTCGGAGGTGGCCTGGATCACGTGTGGCAGTGGCTTCGTGAGCCTGGCGCGTGTTCCACACGCGCCAGGAGTGGGCTGATCAATGACAAGCTGGCGCGTGGATCTCACGCGCCAGCCAAGGAGTTGGTACACTCCACGCGCGGGAAGGCGCGTGGAGGCGCGTCCCACGCGCCCCAGGCGCGTGGGAGCGCGTGAGGGTGCATTCCACGCGCCCCAAGCGCGTGCCAGCGCGTGGAGGCGCGTGGGAGCGCGTGCAACTTGCCCTAGGCGCGTGCCAGCGCGTGTGGGGTCCTCCGGGCTCGTTCCGAGCGGCGTTTTGCTTCTCCTGACGCGTACAAGCTTCCTATGGGTGTTTACAGACAGTTGAAGGATGCCAGTACAGCAAGAATAGTTTTTAAATGTTAAAAGCTGAATCCATTGGCCATTTATATTGCTTCTGTCTATTATTTGATGCATGGAATAATTTAATAGTTGTTATAATTGTTCATGCATTGGATCCATGATTTTTAATTAAATGGCTTGATTTATATTAATTAAATTATGAAGATAAATTGGATTAGATTGCTAATTAATTTGAGGGCATTTATTGGGAAACAGAAAAATTATTTTTAAAAATTATTTTTTGCCTCAAATTAAAGATTAGTGAATCATTTAAAATCCATATATATATTTTCTAAATTTAATTGGATTAAAATCAAGGCGTTTTGCATGCATTAAATCATGAATTAAAAACCCTAGTTTTATATTATTAAAAATTGAGTGGGAGCGGGGATTTTTATACATTACCCCATGGCCTTCGTAATTATAACCATTATGATTAGATCTTTAAAAATAAGGCTCCACGCATGATTTAAAGAGTCTAGATTACAAGAATGGTTGTCTCACGAAAATATATTTATTAAATAACCATTATAGTTAGATCTTTAAAAATAAGGCCCTACGCATGATTTAAAGAGTCTAAGCTATTAATGGCAATATATTTAATATTTGTGTTTCCGTTGGAGCATTAATTATGTTATACACTCAATCTAAAATCAATAGTATTAGCTCCCCAACGGAGTGGTCTATACCAGGTGATTTTAGAAAGGCTAAATCTAATCGGGAATTATTTCATATTTAGATAAGGCATTGTCTAAAGAGATATGGAAATAATGAGTTATTCTCGTCAATAAGCAATAATGAATTCCGCCAACCGGATAAGTTATTGGCATATTGATTGTCCGATTTTTCATGCAATGTGGTTAAGGGACCCACAATTAATTAATTGTTTTATACTTGCATGATTATTATTATTCACTTTATTTATTGTATGAATGCTTTTATTTTCAGATTTATCATGACTAGTCCATTCAGTCCACTTGCGAACATACTAAAAGAAAATCGATTAACTGGACCTAATTATATCGATTGGAAAAGGCAACTAGATATTGTACTCACATATGAGGGGTTGAATTATGTGCTTACTACTCCTAGACCTTCTCCGCCTTTGCCTGAGGATCCTCCTGAGGAGCATGAAGTATTTAAGAAATGGAATAAAGCAGATGAGATGACTAGGTGCTACATTCTTGCTTCACTCTCGAATGTACTCCAAAGTCAACATCTTCAATATCTCACTTCTGCAGACATTATGCTTAACCTTAAGGAAATGTTTGGGCAAATTGGTAAGAGCGCACGCCAAAATGCTATGACAAATTTGATGACCATTAAGATGGTCCAAGGTACTTCAGTTCGGGAACATGCTTTAAAAATGATTGGTTTTTTAAATGAACTGGAGATCCTTGGATGCAACTTGGATGGTGAACTTCAGGTTGACATGATTATCGCTTCATTGCCAGACTCATTTAACTCTTTTAGGGTTAATTATTACATGAATAAGCTTGAGTACACACTCGCTGAACTATTGAATGAGTTGGTAACTTTTGAAGGGATAAACAAAAGCAAGGGTGCATCTATCAACTACACTCAGTCTGCTGGACCATCTACTTCTAGGCCCAAGAGGAGGGGCAAGAAAAAGAAGAAGGATGGTGCCAAAACTGTGGTTGTGCCAAACAAAGTAATCCAAAAGGATAAGGGAAAGAAGAAAGTGCGGGTTGAAGGCGAAGGAAACTGCTTCCATTGCGGTCAACCGGGTCACTGGAAACCTAACTGCCCAATACTTCGCACACAAGGCAAAGGAAAAGGTATATTCATTGTTGAGGCATGTAATGTGGTTGAATCTATAGATTCCTGGTGCATAGATTCTGGAGCCACTAATCATGTTTGCAATTCATTGCAGGGATTCCAGGAGTCCAGAAGCCTCAATGAAGGAGAGATATACTTGCATATGGGATCTAATGCCAAGGTGGAAGCTAAAGCAGTGGGAGTGGTTCATATGCAGTTTGATAGTGGGAGGAGTCTTATTTTAGAAGATTGTCTTTATGCGCCAAATGTTAGGCACAATTTAATTTCAGTTTCTTCGTTGGTTTGCAAAAATTATATTTTTACTTTTGGAAAAAATGTTTTAATTAAATTAAATGGTTGTGTTATAACTTCTGGTGCATTGAAAGATAATCTATATGTTTTAACTCCTAGCT